TTGCTTCTAAGTAAAATTATTCTTAAAAATATTTATGCACAAAAATGGCACAGTATGACTGAATTTTATACAAGACCTAAGTATTATAAGGAAATAAGTAATCCCTCTACACAGGTTCCCCTTATGATCATTAAAGGCTGAAATGCATTTGGTGGTTCTGCCTGTTTGACAAAAAACAAAACAATAAGTTTTACATACATTTTCACTTTTCAAGGAAATGTCTTTGATACTGCTCAAACATCTTCTTGTATTGGAGACAACTAAAAGCAGATTTGTCTAGAATCTTAAATCCTTAAATTCTGCTGTAATTTTCTGAAGTTATACCTCAGATGCAAATGTAGGAATTAGAAAACAAGCAGCCAGCTGTATCAAAGGAGCATAAAAGCCCAGATCCCATGATTCTTCTAGGAAGAGCTCACCAGAAAGAACTAGGAAAACAAATCAGATGTTCACAGTTTCCCAGATTCCACACATCATGTCTGTCTCACATAAGCCAGGTGGGATTCCTGAATGGTAAGAAAATCTACTGGCACCCAGTGCCATAAAATGTGGACTATGAAACATTTTGGTACATGGCCTCTGTAAAGACAGCTACAGAAAAGACATCTAGAGAAAGCTACATTTTTTAAGAACCATTGCTAAGAGCCTGTATGCAAAGGTTTAGGTAGCCTAACATGTGTTTTACTAGGTCTTAAATTTCTTGGGCTCAATTTGATTTAAAAAAATAATAATGATTTTTGAAGGCTGCTTTCTCCCTATCACTATTGGTGTTTGGGTTTTTTTTCTGCTTTAAATGTGGAGATTTTCCATAGGTAGGAGTTTATTTTTAAACTCCTTAAATTTATTTAACTTATTTTAAACTTCTTAAGTTTATTTTTAAACTTCTACAGACTGAAAAATATTTAATGCAGTTATGTTTGATCTTGCCTGAAGTTGGATCCTTCAATTTAGGGACTGATAGACAAACACTATTTTTCATTTCCTCCTTCATCCCACATCTTCCTACAAGAATTATACCACCCTTGCTAGGAAAAGCAGCAATTTGTGTGCACCAGACATCACCCAAACCCACCTAGATCACTGGATTTGTCCATCTGTACAGCTCCAGAAGTGCAACTCTTCGGAGCTGTGGAAGAGCCACCACACCAGCAGCTGATTTGGGGGTCCAGAGGGGTAAAAGTGGTACCCTGAGGTGCACACACCAGACCTCGGGGTGTAACACACCCTCCTCAGTGAGCTGTGCTGGGTTAAATCTCTCTGAGGTCGCGTCTTTTGGCAGCTCTTTTGGGTTTTAGTTGAGAGTGGCTCCATTCGCACATACAAATGAAAGCAAACAAGTGAAACCTTTCAGGAGAATGAAGGTTCTCAGAAAGGCAGTGATACCCCCAGCAATTCCAGAAATTACATTTCTGTATACAACACGGGGCTATTTGACAAAAATTCTTCCTTCCTAAAAGGGGATCTGCCACGCAACTTATATTTTAAAGATGCCCTTCTACAGTTCTATTAAAAATATCATTGTATTTACTCATTGTCATCTGTAATTATGATGATCTACAAATCATTATAGAATCACACAAGACAAAAAAAATTTCCTTCACACACCTGAAAAACTTCAGAAGTTCATCACTTTTCAAAATATCCCCAAAGTTTTCAATTTTCAAAAATATATTGCCAACCTTATAAAACAATTTGTTCTAAAAGTTAAGATCGATACACCATTGTTGTGGTGTTCATTAACAAACAATTATGTTTTTCCTAAAAATAGAACATTAAGATGTGGACTCTGTAAAAAGACTTAAAAACAGAAGACAATAAAAATCAAAATTTTTATTTTTGTAGACCAACCATATAGAATCAAAAATCATTTGAAGGAGAGACAAAACAGACTTGTGGCTTTTGAATGCAGACAATTATTTTTTTTTTAATTTTACAGTAAATCAGGTAGCATTGTCAATGCAAATTTCTTATTTTAAAGGACTGCTTTATACTGATTTTACTATAAATTTTGTTTCATACTAAAGTTCCATAGAATCTTTTTTTATTCATACATTATATAAGCACACACAATGTCAGAACACATGTCCAAGGTCTTTCTACCTCACTGTCTGATCAATAGCAAACAAAAATCCAGTTAGAATTCTCTTCTACTGAATTAAAGTCAGCAGTAAATCTCTTCCTTACCTTGCAGCTACGGGATTTTTAAATCTGTCCCAAGCACAAATTAATATATAATTTGGATAATGTGCTGCTTTTTATCCTGTAAGAGTCAAGTACAACATGACCAGCAGTGTGCAATTTGTGTTGGGACAATACACCTTTGGAGACTGCTGGATCCAGACTAGTTCTTCAGGGCTTTTCTGGAGAACATTCTCCAACCTTTTACTGGTGCATCAACACTACTTTGCTGTACTTATTCTCAGTAAGTAGCTCTATCTACTTTTTCCATGTTCTTCCCTATATTTTGAGTTTATATTTTTACTAGCTTACCTTAACAACACAGGACAGAATCATCCAGAGGGCTCATGACAGAAATTCTGAAACAGACAGGGTATAAAATACGAAGCCTTTAGTAAAGAAAGCAAAGATGATGTTCTTTGCCACTCTAGCAGCTGAAGATTTTAAATAACAGATGTACTCCATATAAGAGATAACCTACAATTCAGCACAGTTTATCCAAGGAAAAGATTTGTGAACCTGCTTGTTTGTTGTTTTCCAAAGATAAAGCAGCCCTAGTCACATCAAAATGTCCTTATCTCTGGTACTAGCAGTTTCTGGCCTAAAATCAATGGCATTTGTTTAACTTTTAGAAAAGTGTAAAGATTTTAAGTGTGGAAGCTGTACACTTGTTCTAAAGTTACCTTTCTCAAAGCCTAGGAAAGCATTGTGTCCTTTCAGGGTGGGAGACCAACATTGGCCCCATAAGAGAACAAAACAATTGTCATTAGAAACCTGCTTTGGAATCTTTGCTGACAGAACTGTCCTTAGATAGCAGATAGCAGTAATCTGAAAGAATCTACTGGATGACAATGCTTTTCAAAGTTTCAGACTTTAGCAGAATTGTGGGAAAAGCATTAAACAAAGAATTCTCAGCTGCTAGAACCCCCAGATTTTCATTGTCAAGAAGCAATGGGTCTTGGTTGGCTGCTCTGCTTTTCCCAATTTCCTATAAGGTTTTAAGTGAATTTTTTACTCTTTTTTTTTTTTTTTCCTCATTTCCAGGTCTGTTTCAACATGTGAATTAAAAAAAAAAAAAAAAAAAGAATGAAAGCTGAACAACACATTCCTGAGAAGAGCAAACTGATGATCCAGAAAGCATATGGGAAAAACCCTCTGAGAGGCCTTTTTTATTCAACCTGTAATACTTCATGTTGATGTGATAACTGGGGTTCCAAGCAATTATTGCACTGCTCCAAAACAGCTTCTGAGATCATAATGCAGTAAAGATTATTTCCATCAAATACAGAGCTACTGAAAATGTAACTGAAGGGTGAAGTTTTAAAGAATTTTGTCAGTTGCTCCAAAGTCTCTGTTAGCTGCCTGTTGAATTTTGGATGAAATTTAAAAGACTGGAGCTGCTTACCCAAGTACTGCATTGCTTGGGATCTGCATTTCTGCCCCCACTACAAGAGGCTGCCTTCAGTAATCTGAATTCTTCTAATGAAGACATATTATCTTTCACAAGTTAGCCAGCATGTTCCAAAAACGGGTGATTAAGTTTTTATATATTTTTTATATATCTTTTATATATTTTATATATATTTTATATATATTTTATATAATCTGGTTAGTAGGGCAAACACAGATTATTATCATTATCAGGATATAATATAATATATAATTATATATTATCAGGATCCTTACTTTCTGTAATCAAAAACAATTACATTTTATACTGTATTTGTCTATTATAGGATGTTACTATAATAAGACCATAAATAATAACTGAAGGTTTTTTTCAACCACAAGTAAAAGATTACTTATAAACTAGAAAAAGATATCTTAACTAATTTCAGCTCAAATTGAAAGAGGAAGCCATAAGCAGCAGCACTCTGATTAAGACTATAAAACTATTTTCTGCTTGCAGCATGTTTGTATGTGGGATTAATTCTCCTCCCTAGCCTTTCCATCCTAACACTTTCCAGTATTTAGTCAGCATCCTCTTAACTATTAGTACAGAGATATTAAGTGTTAAAGGGATTAACATCAGTCAAGTTTACCCAAATTTTCTGTACCAAAAGGTACAGAATGAGGCTAGAGGTGTTTCAGCAAGCCGAAAAGCAGTTTGTGTCCTTTTCAAACACCATGCTGCCACCTAGTCGACATCCAACTGAACTGTGCTGTCCTGGATGCACTGTGCTTGCAGCCACAGCCATGGAATAAAAATCAAATTGTTTTCCAGAAGAGATCAGTGCAAGACTAAGTTACCAGAAGCACTGAGAGCGTCATCTGAATTCCAGAACAAAGCAGGCACAACTGCAACTCTCAGTGCTCACATGTGCAACACTGCAAAAAGGGTGCGTGTGTTCAGGGAGCACTCCAAGCTGATGCTTGTTTGTAGTTATATTGTGAAATACCTCTACCAAGTGTAAAGAAGGAAATAATTAATACCACCAAGTAGGGGTTCAGTCCAAAATAATATAATATGAGCAATTAACAGATTTATGCTGTGTCAGCAAGTTCAGGCACTACTGATCTTTAGCCTCTTTCCAATGCTTTGGGAGCATCTACTTTATATCCGGATTTCCCTGAAGGCTGATTTGCTTCCTTTTTTTATCCTTTCTCTTCATTTAAATGTGTCTGGTTTGTGGAGGAAAAAGTAATCCTTTTGTCATTCTTCAACACAACTTATACTAACTTCAACATAACTTATACTAACATTGCTATTAAATATTTGGTATCCCTATGATAAAGCTTCAAAAGGAATTATATTATTATCATCTCAGTGGGGCATAATGTATGAAAATTGTTTCTTTGTTGCCTGAGCATCATAGATAAAGTCAATATTAGTGACAAAAAATCTACTCTCATTGGAAAAATGTCCTCATTTTTTGTGTTTGCATGTCACTCTAGGTTAGAGTAAGGATGTCTCTGCAGCACCAGGTTTGGAACAGCTCCCACAGGAGGCCAAGAATGGCAGGAGAAGGCGAGGAGCAGCCTTGCACCAGAACAAAATGTTTTATGCCTCCTCTCCATGCCAGAGAATCCCCAAAATCCCAGAACAGCAGAGACTGCAGAGAGCAGGCAAGAGTTCTCCTCTTTATTTGGGCACCCAGCCTAATACACGATCAACAGGTACAGGATTTTTGCAGGATAAAAGGCAGGATGCATGAGCTTTCTGTAAAAATGCATTAGAAGACCATAATTACATTACATTGTGATAAAAACTTGAATGCAAAAGGCAGAAGAAAAAAATAACCAGCAACACTGTCAAGATGACACAAATATCCTGACCACGGTACTTTTAGAGCTCTTTTTCATGCCAGCCTTCATCATGAACATCAAAGATATGAATGAGATCTTACTAGAAGTCACCAGTAATTGTGGATGTCTTACGTATTTGTTCTAATTCTTAAGTGAATGACAAATTAGAACTTCCCTAATTTTGCTGCTCGAAGCACTCTACTATTGTCTGCACATTTAGTTTGAGGAATTTTTTAGATAAAACATACATTGCCACAGCGGTGACAGAGATGTCCTGGGCGTCCACGTATTTTCCTCACAGCCCTGTGGCAGGATGAAATTGCTCATATGCCCAGAGGCAAGCAGCATGGCTAAATTCAATTAGTATTTCCAGACTCTGGATGGGGCATCGCATAAATAATCCATATGGCAAACATGACACTAAACCCTACATATTAAAAAGAAAGAAAGACACCGCCCCCCTCGGGGCGGGATCAAGATATTAAGAGCGCTGCGGCTGCCCAGACCCAGCCGGAAAACAGCTGTTTTAGTTTGGGGTTTTTTAAAAAAAAACAAACAAATAAAACTACACACACCTTGTTTTCCCCAGATCCAAGGGGGAGGTTGTTCTCAAGCAGAACCGGCACCGAGCCCTTGCCCCGAACCCTGCGGCTTCAGCGCGACGCTCTCCGGCAGCGGAGCCCGCTCCCCTCAGGGCCCGGCGGGGCACGGGCAGAGACAGCGCAGGGCTGTGCAATGCCAATTCCCCGTTGTTCCAGGACAATTAGAGCAGGACGCCTCACCCTGCCCCGTCTAGGCGCAAATCTCCCTGGAAAAAGCCGTAAAGTTCCGTATTTACAAACCCCCGTCCCTCTCCTAGGCCCGGGGCCGGCCGCACTCACGCGGGAGCGGGACGGGCACCGTGAGGGCTTTGAGCTGGGCACGCTCACAAAGTATCAAAGTACTAAAACGCAGCTAAATATTCCCCAAATCCTTCACTCTGCCCTCTGGTGACACCATGGAAATTCGTTTTAAAGTGTACAGAAGCCAGAAGACCACTTGTTTTTCAAGACATAGCGGACACTTATCTCACACGCCCCACCACACAGTTATTTTGCCCCAAGTCTGTATTACTTTTTCCCAGACATTTTTGGGTTTGTTGTTCGGGTTTGTTTTGTTTGGGGTTCAGGCTTTTTGACATAATAAATTAGATTTGTCTGTTTGACTTTGTTTAAGCCATGACAATATCGCTCAATTTCATGTCTGGTTAAAATGCACACAAAGCTAAGGAAATTTGAGTTTTGGGCTGTACACAACCAAACTTCGCTGAAATACACAAGATAAAGAAAATGCTTCGTAATAAAATCAACATTTCCAAAGCACTCAAGTTGTAAAAGACATATTTTTTATGAGTTACCTGAAAGACCATCATTAAAATGACAAGCAGAATGATAATGATGATGCTCAGAACCGTGCTTTTACTCAGTCCAAATAATTTTCAATTAAAGTTTTGTTTTCTTGGCTGGGCAGCATCATCAACACAGAACACCAAAGGAATATTCTCAGGTTTGTCAAACTCTGCAACATTCACAGAAAATACTAAGAGAATTAATACTCAAAGTAGTATATTCTGCAATTTTTTTAAAAATAGCACTATATAATGAAATACCACAACATTTTAAAGTTTCATTCAGAACAATTTCAAAATCATATGCTGTTAGTTGTTACCATAGTGTCAGCTTATGATATGACTTTACCAACTGAATAGTTCTCTGCCAAACTTAACATTCATTATTATAATTACCAACATATCATTAATAAATCAACACTGAACAGCTGCATGGAAGAAGGCCTCGACATAAGAGGAAAAAAGGGATACAAAGTCATACAAGTCAGGCAAGGCATAAGAGAAGTATAATGTGAAAATGAGTGCTATAATGAAAAATTATGCAGCAACTTATGTGTCAAGGATTTGTATTTAACATGGACTGTGAGCTGAAGTTATCTAATAACTGCTTGGTAGGTTACATTAATTTTGCTTGATCAAACTTGAAAGAGGTAAAAATAAATGGGATAAAGAACATGATAAATAAATAT